GTAAGGTGTTCCAACCATGCATGTCCTTCCGGGAGAAGGCCCTGGTGCACTCCGGGGCATCCTGGAGATATTACATCTATAGGCTGGCCTGGGAAAGGCTTGATGTTTCCTCCGGAGGAGGTGGTAGCGAGAGGGAGGTTTGGGCTTTCCTGCTGCTGTCCCGCTCACCCGACTTCAGATAAGCAGAAGAAAATGGGCAGATTTTATTATTTTAAATTTTTAGAACTTTTACTTTAGTAGGTGTCATGAATTTTCAAAGAGCAACATGCCACACTTTAGTCACAATTTATTCATTTTCCAGATGTTAACTTGTCGTGTTTTAGTAATAGTAGTAAACATCTGTTATAGTTACATGTTTTCATATCATATATAACATCGGTTTAGTTTAGGGGTTTTCCTCCTTCACTGTCTGGAGTGTAACGTGTAGTGTTGATAATGCACAATGCGAGGTGCCGCACAGCTTGATTCGCTATTTAAGAATGTCATAAATGATTTAAACGCCTTTCTTATCTGTTTTTGACATTTTCCACCAAACGGTTGTCAAATGAAACTTAATATTTGAGTGTTCCTTAGTTTTAGACTAGTTGGTTAGTCTACTTTTTTTCCACGGTTATTTGAGTAAGAAATAAGTCGCCAGGAACATCCCTAGAATTTAGTGTTTTGATGTTTTCTGTTGGACAAAATAACATAAAAAGCTAAAAAGCCTTTATCATGTAAAAAGCTTGGGTTTACAAACTAGGATTAATGAAATTCAGCTGTGCTGTTTTAGTTAGCTCGGTTAGCACTGACAGTTTTACTCATGCTGTTGTTGTAGGTTCATGTTGGACCAATGAGGAGCACCAGTACAGGCTGGCTGAAGCTGAAGAGCACCAACCCCCTGGACCACCCAATCATTCAGCCAAACTATCTCACCACAGGTCTGAATGTATTTGATATTTCCTTTAAATTTCCCCCTTAAAAAATATATATATATACTCTCTCTTTTTTTTTGAACGATGACAGTATTTTGACATGTTTGTAGTTATTGTTGCAGTATTGAAGTCCCTCTGCATCAACTTTTACCTCAGCAGCTTGCAGACTTTTGAGTTACAACAAAGTTGCTCTGGCACGTTCTTATATAAGCTTTTCCTGGTTTTGATTCCCTCTCCTCCTCTCAGATATTGACGTGTGGGAGTTCAGGCAGTGTGTCAAACTCTCCAGAGAGATTTTCGCCCAGAAGGCCTTTGACCCCTTTCGTGGTCCTGAAGCCCTGCCTGGTCCTCAGGTCCAATCCGATGCAGACATTGATGCTTTTGTCCGCCAAAAGGCAGACACTGCCTACCATCCATCCTGCACATGCAAGATGGGCTCGCCCTCTGACCCGATGGCGGTGGTTGACTCAAACGCTCACGTTCTGGGCCTGGAGAAGCTTCGTGTGATCGACGCCTCGATCATGCCCAGCATTGTCAGTGGAAACCTGAATGCTCCAACCATCATGATGGCAGAGAAGGCTGCTGATATTATCAGAGGTCGCCCTGCACTCCTTGACTCGGGGGTCCCTGTGTACCAGCCTCCAACACTTGACACACAGAGATAAAGAGAGAGGTGTACAGCTTATCTGTGAGTTAGAAAAATCCCTCAATAGAGTCAGTTATTAGGCAAAAATAGCAGTAAATCACAAGCTGTATGTTCGATTAGGAGCTTATCAATTTAACTCTGAGCTGATATTGTGAATTATTACCATGGGAACATTCCTGGCCTAACACACATATTTAGGACCATAAACACTTAACATCTGTCTCACGCTGCCGTTGGGGTGGAACAGTACAGCAAAATCACTGTGGTTATGACAGGAAATGTGTCTAATATGTGGCTTCTCGCTTAGCAAACAATTTACCAGCCTGCCTCATCATGCATTTCAGTAAAAATGCTCTGAAATGTATACATCTTAAACATGAAGTAATTACCCAAGATTACAAACTAGTGTCCAGCATCACATTAAAAAATTGCAAAACAGCTTTAAAAAACGAAAGAAACTTGAATATTTCAAGGATATGAGCTTCTGATGAAAATCTGTTTCCACGGCACTGCTTTTCAGAAAACAATTGTCTTATCAGCCGTCATCTAATGTGGTTGAGAGCTGCAGTCAGCAGCTGGAGCACACTGTAGAATAACTGGCCTCAGCAGCTCACTCCTGTCTGCTCAGACCAGATCAGAGGTTGCCAGCCTTTCGCTGTGACATTCCTCTTCCTTCCTGAAAACTTGCAGATTCAACAGAAAATCTTTTTTTTGGTGGTTTTGGCCCACCCGCACACATTTCACATTAAAATGAAGGCAATAAAGTGATTCGCTTTCACTTTAGGTTTCCCACAATTTAGCCAGTTTTTATAGCAGTTTCTATAGCTACAGCTTTACCATCAACATCTGCAGAAAACATTTGGTTTTGTTACTCTGTTTGCGTGACAACAGAGCATTGAATAGGCAGGATGGAAGAAACAAACTTTCTTTTTTTTTTTGCACATCTAAACAGACTTGTCACTAAACAGACTTGTTTAGTGACAACTGTGGGGAAGGATCATACATTGTTTACAAAAAAGACTTAAGTGAAGTGGTAATATAAACTGGACCAAACCCTGATTCAAGCTTGGAAAAGAAACTATTATAATCAGACTTGTAGCGATTACACTACCAATGCACGCGTCTCTAGATTTAACAGTTAAAGGAACAGACCTCCTAAATGCTGTCAATGCATCTGTAAAACTCACCTCAGTTTGTTTGATTCATGCTATGTGCCAAATTTGCGTCCTCGAGCTACATAACTCACAGCTTTTGCACCGCTCAGTCAGCCTGAAAGCTGTTTAATATAAACAGTAATTAATGCAAAATGTTTTAACACTATTTTTACGCACACTAAGAACTTTGAAACTAAAAATCTTCAGTGTCACTTTTATAAGCAGCTTTTTTTCTGATTGTGTTGTGAATTTTTTAAAACTATGTTTTTAATGTAACTGTAATATCATTGTTGCCCATGAGATCACGATTACATTCTGATTTGTATTAATTCATGTATATGTTGCACACGGCTACAGTGTGTTTCAGTTTGGTCCAGCTTGAACTGACACACACCGGTGCTGAGATTTTAGACTTTGAGTGAATAATCAGTGTGTATTAGTAGCTATAATGAAAGCACTAACATAAATTATAAGTATGTCTTATTAAGCTTTGCACTATATCATAAAGAATTTATGGTTTACATTATAATGCAGTTTTGTCTAACATGATGTGAATGTTTAAATCATCTGTCATTATGAAGGGAAACTTACTGTGAACACCGTCAAAGGCTTTCTGTTGTTTTTCTGTGTTGACACTAAACAAAGCCTCCTGACCTTGTTCTTGTGTCTTTATTCAGTGTTCGTTACAAAAAATCAGCAGGTTCATTGTCATTCCAGGCAAAACTTCAAGTATGCAAAAAAGGGCTTCTCTTTTTATTGGTACAAAACTTATAAGGTACTAGTACTCATGCTACAAAGTAGAGATAGAGCTATTCTTGTTTGCTTTTTTTTAAATTTTCATACAACTGGATAGAAAGCAGAGATCTTCAAGTTAATCGCGTACTTTTTACAAACGCTGTACAGATTTTATACATCATTGTCACTTTATAGACATCTGTAAAGCAGTGGAACAGTACAAAAAAATAAAGCTGCGTTGCACAACAAAGCTTTGCAGTCCTTGTCATTTTATCTCATGTGATAAATCATTTGGGTAGTTGCACTAGTAATAATCTCCACGTGACTAATGTTGTTTCAAGTTTCTCGCATGTGAGCCGCAGGGTAAATCTGAACTGTTTGGAGTCGTGCACTTTTGACAGATTATATTCCTAAGCAGATGGCTTCCAGTCAAGAAGCTGTTGTAAGTGATTCAAAGCATAGCTGAATGCCTTGGGGAGTGGAGTTGGGTGGTTTTCAATAAAAAACAAAAGTCTCACATAGAAGCCAGCATGTTTACCTCAGACTTTTTATGGCTTCTTGGAAATCAAACCAGTGTTGAATCTGGTACTCATCTTTAATCTTTGTAATGTTGGGTACAAACACTGTTTTTTACTAAAGATTTGGTGGTTCATCATTCATTACTATGGACTTTTGGACAACCAATCACGAACGCTGCCAATAAAGAAAAAAAAAATCACACATAAATGTTTCCGATTACTACTTTTGTGCAAATGCAGCGTTACCAGAGTTTCCCTGACATGTTAACCAACAGGCCCGGAGAGTTACAGAGGTAATAAGATTTTTTTCAAAGTCTACATTAAAAACAATTTACTTGCAGTTAAAAAAAATGCATATGTCTCATTTATCAGCTGTATTGGCCACTTAAACCTGTATGAGGCTCTTCTAGAGTGAAGAGGAAAGAGTGCATTTGCAGTCCATCTGAACGATAGTCCAGATAGCAGCTTGTATCCTGCATCTGTACATCTGTATATCTACATCATCAGAATGTCCAATAGCAAATACCGGCACCAGATTTAGACCCTTTAGTCAACTTTTAGTCACAATAGATAAATAAATAAACCTCAGTAATTTTGGTAACAAAAAACATTTGACGCATCTGAGTATGGACGAGTGTTCTCTATTCTGTCCAGACTATCTCTCCAACTCATAAATGAAATACATAGTAGAGTGGAGAGAAAGTCTCTACACTCAGAGAACCAGGGTTACAATGTAACCAAGCATTCCCTTGTTTTGGTTTTAAAGGAGCCCTTTGATTGTACAGAACAAATTGCCCTTACAGCAGTATTTAGAGTAAGAAAAAAAGAAAGATTGCCTAGCCATCACTTGGTATGTTGTTTTTTGTTTAAATTAATCTGAAGGTTATCATAGTTGGCAGTGGGAGACAAACACCCGTTAGTGGTGCAGAAACGCTTTACTACGTTTTTCCCCCAGTTGTGCTCTTTGTCTTGACAAAAACAACTCCAACAGATAAAAGGCAACAGCAGTCATTTCATTACAAGAGCAAATATAATGACATAGCATATTGTCAGGCAATCCAGTAAATAGTTGCCCATTATGTAGAGACCTGTATGGTCTTATTCATTCCATTGCAAAAACAAAAAGAGTTTTGCAGCTGTGGAGGAAATAAACGGTTTAATTGGTGTGTCATCTGTGACACAAAGAAACTCTGGTGGTCTTTGCTTTTATTTTTGTTGACTCATGAGTCTATTGAGCCACATCACACAGAAACCTCAGAGATTATCTACTGTAGCTGATCTCAGAGTGATTCAGGGGGAATAGTGATTCATAGTAATGTACATCATTACATATCTGAGTAAAGGGCTTAACAAAGAAAACTCAGTCTTCAAAGTTAAGGATCATCAAGGGCAGTGAGTGACACACAGCAGTGAGTGACACACAGCAGTGAGTGACACACAGCAGTGAGTGACACACAGCAGTGAGTGACACACAGCATCCTAATATTCCTTTATTTTTAGGGTGTGTAGCTTGATCAAACTCCTTGAATGTAGCACTGCTGTTAGTGTAAAGGGAGGACTTAAGAGAATGTGTCCGCGATTACATGAAGAAGGAGGATATGCCTGAGGACAAAGACTTGTTTTTTTTTTCCCTACTGATATGTGATTTCCTTTTCAAGTCAAAAACAGAGACATAGCCAAGCTTAGCCCTGAAATCCTGAACTGTGAACCCAGAGAAGTTTAAGTGATCAAGACTACTAAGAAAAAAACAGTTTCTGTCAAGTTTTTTGTTTTTGTTTTTTTTACTCTAAATCGAGTCACGATGGTAATAATGTAATGCGAACAACCAGTGTTTGCTAACATGACCAATAAAAGGTTTAAAATCACACATTATTTATATACATGGATCTGGCAACAAAATACAGGGAAGCTTGGAATGACTGGACAACCATACGCTGACCTGGCGCTGGTGGGGTTTTTTTTTCCAGACATCTAAACTGGAACGTAAGTTAGTTGAATGCTTTGGATATTTTTCTAAAATTGTTTTAACAAAATCAGCTTCTTTGGGAAAAACAAAATCATGCACTGCAATCTAAAAATGATTGAAACGGTGGAACACTTTTTGTTTTTTTGGCTCTTTATATATCGAGTAAACAGTTTAGATTTATTTTAGAACAATGCAGCTGGGCCGACCCATTATCGCCTTGAACTGAAGCTGATTCCTAAAATCTGTGTTAGAAAACCTACATTTGAGTTTTTCCTGCTGTAAGAAACCAGTGTAACAATAAAGAAAAACTCAATTTAGAGGTTTGAATTCTCACTAGATGGCAGACTGGTTGGCAGACAGATTTGATTCCCTCTGGTTTGCTAAATTTTCCAGAAACCCAACCATTTCTTCATCATTTCTTAAGAGAAAACAAGGCACTTTGCTCTCTTATCCATCTGTGTTTTACACATTTTCATTATTGCATGATGCACTTGAATAGAGGTGTCCCCTCACCGTAGAGCAGTAGTAAAAATTCAATTGAAAAAATCCTAAATATATCCCAGTGTGAGCTGCTGTTATAGTGAGGTGATGCATATCATCTCATCTGTTAGGTCCTCCTCACATTTCACAGCCACATATGGCTCCTCATCGCTGTAGTCACGGATGCTGTGGTCCCTAATATTTGCACTGGCATGCGAATCCGAGCCAACGCTCTCTTTCCTCCCTGTGTTGCCATTACCCATGGTCCCATTCAGCAGGTTACTGGCGGCACTCTCCATTTCATCAATGGTCATCTCGCAGGCGTCTGCAATCTCATGTTTAGTTGCTGACACAAATTTAGGGTCCTTGGCGTATTTCCCCAAACCTTCAGAAATCAGCACCTGGGGAGAGCAGTCAGGAGATAATTAAAGCTGAAACCATGAAGTGGAAAACGTGATCTTCAGCAAGATCAAGAACTACACATTCTGGGTCTTACAGATATTATTCATTTAGCTGCCAATAGATGACATCTGCAACATCCTGTTGACTTGTAAAATGAATGCTTCACTGACAGAAGCATTGCTCATCACGCTTCCCAACTTGAGTTAGCTGCCTGGACATGCAGCCATACTTGTTTTTAATAAAGGTAATTATGGACATGTTTTTCATTTTGACATAGTGGAAAAGTCGAGGTGTACATCACAAATGAGTCAGAACAAGAAGTTCAAGAATGAAAACTTCAAGAAAGAAAACTGCTCAAAAACATTTAGGGGACACTTTGAAAACATGTCCAACCTCAATGGGGAAAACATCATGCTGCATATGTATACTGATATAGACTGTGTAATCAGTTAGAACCAAAGGATGACAAATCACTTGATGCAAGTGAAAATGATCATACTACAGAGAACAAAATTCAAAGACACCCTGAAATTCAAAGTGAAAAAATGGTCCAATGGTCCAATTTTATTGTAGTCACTTAAAATGGTACTCAGTAGTTTGTTTGGCCACTATCTGCTTGTATGCATGCCTGAAAACATCCTATTGAGACGTGAATGGTGTCCTTTGGAATCTCCACCCAGATCTGATCCGGACATCACTGAGCTCCTGGAGAGTCTGAGACGCATGCTAGCTGAATCGGACGGACCAAAACATGATGTCCCAGAAGTGTTATATTTGAATTAACTCAGGCAAGTGTAGAGTGCAGGAGCTGCAAACATACTCTCACCTCATGAAGCCGGATATTGTTTTGCGCCAGGAGAAGCCCAGTACCCACTGCACCAGTGTAGGGTCTGACAGTGGGTCCAAGGATGTTACAGAACAATGTTACAGGCAGCATATTATTCTCCACAGCTTCTCCAGACCCTTTCACATCCATCACATGTGCTCAGAGTTACCTCCTCTCATCAGTGAAAAGCACACGGTGCCACTGGTGGACCTGCCAATTCTGGTATTCTATGACAAATGCCAAGCAGTGAGCACAGGGCCCACTAGAAGACATTGTGCTTTCAGGCCACCCTCATGAAGTCTGTTAATGATTGTTCAAACCAGTGGCCTGCTGAAGGTCATTTTGTAGCTCAGGCAGTACTCATCCTGTACCTCCTTGCACAAAGGAGCAGATACCCGTCCTGATGATGGGTTAAGGACCTTCTACAGCCTTATCTCCTCCACGCTGTCGAGACTGCTCGAACACACAGTAATTCTTATGGCATTGGCACGTTTCAATGTGCCACCCTGGAGGAGCTGGACTACCTTTGCAACCTCTGTAGGGTCCAGGTATCACCTCATAATAACAGAAGTGACACTGAGCCTAGCTAAAGGCAAAACTAAAAAGATGAGGAGGGAAAAATATCAGTGGTCTTCACCTATAAAACACCAAAGCAGCTGAAACTGATGAAAAACCCCCTTATGCTATTTAACTGACCAGATCAATATTCTGTATGTCGACTTGGCTTGATGCTACACTTTGATTAACAAGTTTTACTTTCAACTTTTTTGAGCAGTGTATAAATGAAATATCACCAGATCTCTTATCCTACTTTGTGAGGGTCTATGGATTAAAAAAATGCACGGTAACAACAACAGAGCATTTGTTATGTACTCACAGCTTCCACCAGACTGTTGGCACTGCCTCTCTTTTGCAGGCAGTGCGAGCAGCACTCTGTGGGTAAATGCAGACGTGACGGAGAATGGCTTTGGCTGGGAGGGCCGTCCTGACTATCTGTGTACCATGAACTCCTCTTCACTGCTCCAGGGATGCTGGCCACACTGCCAGGACTGCGCCAATCCACCTATACACACAAACATATACATATATATATATATATATATATATATACAGAGAGGGCCATTTATATAGATACACTGTAATAAAATGGGAATGGTTGGTGATATTAAAGTCCTGTTTGTGGCACATTAGTATATGTGAGTTGCCAAGAACAACTCAATAATGAGACCTGTATGAGTGGCGTGTAACTGGGCGAGAAGTCACGGCTAACTGGGGAGGCAGGAGGTGTGGCCCACGAACGCATGGACCTTGTGGGAGAAAGACGGTGAATTTTGCTTGCGTCGAGGCCGGCCACCGCCATCACCTGTGAGTGATTGAGAGCCAAGATAAGAAACAAAACATAAAAAAACAACAGTTCTTAGAGGTGCCGTTCCTTCATCATCACAATATTAATGCCCCAAAAAAGGTGTAGGTACATGCTGCTGCATCAGGTGTAGTGGAAGAGCTGTGCATGATGGAGAAGAAGGAGCACCATCTTCACTATTTCTTCTCCGAAGACACTCAAAATTGAATGTTGGTCTGTTGGAGGCTGAGAGGACACAGAAAACAGTAGTGATTAATGCAATCATTCATCATAAATCCACAGACATTTATAGACAACTGCAACTATTGCAATGACATGTTGTTTTCTTTTATGCTTATCATCCAAACTGCTAAATGACCATTAATAGGTGCTTTCTATGCTTATCAGCGCAACAGTTTCCAGTTAACTGTTCTGCTCTGCTTTCTTGACTGTGTGATGCATCAGCTGGTATTCTTATTGTCAGGTTTTGTATTGTTGATTGTCATTTATGCTTAGAAATATCTACTTATATATGCTTAGAGTTTTATAATTAGTTGTAGATTGGTAGAGGTTTGATCCTTAATAGTCTGCAAACTTTGTGTGCATTCCAGAGCACTCTGGGAGCATGGGAGAGGTCGTACCTTGTCTTATTGTTTTATGGTAGGATAAACGTATCTATATCTGTTTTAATCTAAGGGCCTTTTGTTCAGATGAACTGCTGGACTTCCAGACCAGCAGGTTTAGGGAAGTCATTTATGGGGTCACACTCTGACCGCACACACACACACACACACACACACACACACACACATCGTTACACAATGCACAGGCAAGGTACTCTTTGTTTGTATGTAGACGTCATATGTTATTGAAGCTATGTATATTCATGTAACCTCAATAAAAGAGCAGTGTTACGGGGGAGCGGACGAGAGCGACTGGGGTCAAGCGAAGGAACGGCGCTTGTCGTGGTTCTATCCCTCATGCATGAGTGACACGAAGAATGAAGAACTTTGCCTACTTGGTGTTTAATGCTTTTTGCTGTGTAGTTGAATTGTTCCAGCGAATAGGTTTATGCTACAAACCTATCACTTATCCTAAGGAAAGAAGGCTATTTTCTAGGGTATGAAAATCTAATTAAACAAAAAAACAAACAAAAAACCTCAAGATTTGATAAACCAGCACCTGCATTGCTTTAACCAGAGTGTGAGAGCAGTGATATGCGTCAGTGCACTAGCAGAGAAGTACATCAAGTACATCTCTGGTTTGAGAACAGGCTATCACATCTGTTATCAGCTAGCAGCTAAACAAATATTATCTGATGGAGAGTGTTTTCGTGCATGAAGACAGTAGTGAATATTTTTGTAGATTTTTATGCCTCTTCCCATGTGGAGTCCTTCAGTCAGTTAGCCAAGTTTATTAGTCCTTTAAAAAAAAAATAACACAATTCCTATCTGTGCTAACATATAACATAAAACTGTTAACACAATAAACTTTCATAGGTTTAACACAATGTGCCACTGGAACTACAAATCACAAGTGAATTATTATTAATGATTACGTGCCAGTTCACCAATATTAGCGAGTAATATTAGCTATTTGTAAGTATATATGTTTCGGCCTTTATAACAGCCGATAAGTGAACATTAAAAAAAAGAAAAAATAAAGAAAAAAACATGAAAAACATCCTTCAATCATGTTAAGAGAGTTGATGTTGCATTTTTTGTCCAACAGAAGACACATCTAGCGACACATCTGTAAACACAACAACGTGCTAATCTGAGCAGAGTCGTGCAGAGCATAAGTGAGTAATCTACAGGGAGTTGTAAATGAAATTTATTTTTAAATAAAAATCCTTTTCTTTAATAAGGAGTGATAAATCACCAAAAATAATAAATGTTATTCAAATCTGTTTATGTTTTTTGTGCCCTAAAGAAAATCATTTTTTGCCTCTATATATTACAATTTTACTCACCAAATATTTTTTATATATTTTTAAAACCCTACATCAGTCAGACTCTTATTCTGTTATCCATTAATTTACAACAGTTCTCATCAATTCATGTTATATTGGATGAGTAAAAAAAAATGTTATTTTCTTTCAACAACAAGGTAATTTCTCTATGAACCTCACCCATTTAAAAACATAGCTAGATGAAACCCTAGCCGTTTAACAATAATTTACATACAGTAGTGTACCATGCAATGACAGTACTGATTCAAAATGAATGGTACAAACTAGTAAGTTCTGCATAGTTCACAGATGTGAGATCAATTTGCCTGAATCAGCTAATAAACATCTGACTTGAGAAATTTCTTTCAAACAACAAGTAAAATGATCCTTTGTTAAATTTCACAGGTGTAGTGACAAAAACAAAAAAATATCAGTTCACCTTGAGGTGAGGGTAAAAACCATTTCCTGGGTGACGCCCTGCTGTCCTGGTAGATTGGCCGTTGATCATCGTCACAGTAACTTTCAGACTGGCAGTCACCCCTGGAAACGAGGTCAAAATCTCCCTCTGCATCATCATGGCATTCATTGTTGGACAACCTTTGACACAAAAAGATAAAGACTTTGAAAATTAACTTTCTCTGTAACTATGATGTCATGGGACGCAAACAGTGGAAAGAAAGTTACACAGAAAAGTAACAGACTGGTGACATTAACCACCAGCATAAACCACAAGTGCTCAATCTAGATATAAGACAGCTGAACTCAGAGGAAAGAAAACACTTCCGTGAAGTCATCGGTACACAGTAGTAAAACCACGGCTGCATTTACGTAGCTGGTGTGTCAATTTTATCTCACGCTTTCCTCAGATTAGATTAAACCGACTTTTCTTTTCCAGAATTACCTTTCCTTTGTGAGCATGATGTCATCTTCATGAAATTCCTCCCCACTGAAGTACTCGCCTGAGCCTCTCTCTTCATCGCTGTCCCCATTGCCCCTCTCCTCTCGACGAATGGTGGGATAAAGTGCTCCGCTGCTCTCTGACCTGGCATCCAAACAGCAAAGACACAGTAAATCATACTGATGTCGCTGGATTGGATTAACCATTATCATCTGTTTTCTTCAGATTATTGCATCCGCATTCTAAAAAAGTTGGGATGCTGTAGAGAATATAGGTAAAAACTGAATTTGGTGATTTGCAAACATAAAAACTTGACTCCTTTTTAAAATTAAATAGAACACAGAAAACACATCGAATGTGTTACAATATTTACTTTCAATTCAAAAACAAAAAGGTCATTTTGAATTTGATGACAGCACAGAAAAAGCACAGAAAAATTTGGATAGGGCCATTTTCACCACTCTGTAGCATCCCTTCCACTTTAATTAACAGTCCACAAACATCTGAGAACTGAAAAGTCCAATTACTTGACTCTTAGGAGAAGTTTTTCTGTATCAGAAAAACAGGTGTTCTGGATGGGAGCACATGCTGCTCTAAAACTGTACCTCTCAGCAATAATAGTGCATTTGCAAGGTGCCAATTCCACAGGTGCTAATACCACCCACAGAGCTGTAGAGCTTGAGCACTGATAACAACAAGTTGTCCACACCATCTTTAGTCCAGTGTTCAAGTTTTCCAGAAAGAATTTCACAGTTCAGTTTGTCTGACTACAGAACAGTTTTCCATCTTCACTGAGTTTTGGCCCAGAGATGACAGCATGTTTAGATCATGTTCATATATGGCTTCTTCTTTGTATGGTAGAGCTTTTGTTAAGTCAGATTGTTGAATGTTGTCATTGTTTTTCTTAAATTTGTAAAGGCTCAGTTCAAACTATAGGATCAAGGTCATTCCTTTGTCTGATCCCCTCCCCAGCCTCTCAAAGTTCTAGGAGGTGGCTGTAGTGTTTTGTCACAAGCACATCCCTTGTGAAGATTCTGTTTGATGTTTGGTAAGCTTCCTGCCCTTTTATGGCTTCACCTGTGTTGTGTATGGTGAACAAATACAGGAATTGAACCATATATTGGGTGTGGGGGAGATTACCCCCTTTATGACCAAGGATGTTGTGATCAGGAAGTCACACACACACACACACACACACACACACCAACGCAACCAAGTGGGGGTTTTACGGTGGGAGGTGCTTGTGGTGTATTGTGTAAACTGTAACTCTCATGGGAATAAATAGGAGAGCTGATCTTTGAAGGAGTTGGTCTGGAGACAGGTGAGGAGTATTATGCTCCACAGCCTGGTTCTGACCAAGCCTTTCCTCATTAGTGAGTAAAAGACCGTTGATGATGTTCTGTCTTGGTTTCGTTCTTCATGAGGAATAAGTCTCTAAACTAGCGGGGCCTGTGGAAACACTACAGCTTTAATCTGCATTTATGGATGGCACTAAAGACAATGTTGTTTTTAATGCAGTATCGACTGAGGGCCTGAAGATTAACGGCCTGCAGTACCGATTTTTACTCTTGTTCCACTCCAGATTCTTTCAATCTTTTGACGATCTTATGTAGATGAAGATCTATTTAAAATCTTCACAAATTTGAGGAAGAATATTCTGAAATTGTTACACATCTTATACTGCAACTGACAGTGACATATACATACAGTTTATTTGCATATTTCCCATCTTTACCTCTGAGAAATGTTGCCTCTCTATGATCCTCTTTTTAATACCACTAGCTTTTCCAGTCTTTTGTTCCCCCCGTCCCAACTTTTTTAGGCGTGTTGCTGCCATCAACTTCAAATCAAGCTAATATTTTTTTACAAAATAGTCAAATGTCTAAGTTTAAACACTAGATATATTTAATATGCTCTGCTGTGAATAAAAGATTTATATATGAATTTGCAAATCATTGCAAAAATGTCAAAACTCTTTGAAAGTGGGTTTGTACAAATAGTAATAATCCTTATTGTAATAGAGTTGCTTTTCCATAGACTGCTAATTCAACCAGTCACCACATATATACTGTATAAACTGCCCCATTTATCATTTTTTGGATTAAAAGGTCAGAAGCTTTCACGTGTTTTGTGACAATCGTACACAAAACCAATATGCTTTCAAGCTCTGTGAGCATTAACATCATGTACATACCTAATATAGGCCTCATAGTAGCGTGTCCTGCTCCAGGGACAGGAAGAGGAGATGGATCAGGCAGACAGACGGGATTTGTTGGAACCGGAAACCAGGATGGGGAGGGGAGGAAGGGTTCATGCAATGACAAATGAAAAGAGGATACAAGCTGAAATGCTTAAATGGTCTTGTCGGTTTTTCGCTCCTGCTAGAAAACAAGATCTATAAATAATCCACAAATTACAGATAAGAAATAAGGTCACGCGATGCCACGGTTTTTCCAAGAATGAACACCACCGAACATTCAAACTGTGGATTCCTAGAAACTGCAACAAACCCAGATGCAATATGTCAGACTCGACAGCCTCAGTTAGCATGTTTTTTCATGACAGGACAATTAGAAGAAGACTGAAGAAAGATGGCTTGTTTAGAAAGGCTGCCAGAGGAAACCATGATGCCAAGATGGCATCATGGTTTAGGTTTGCAAAATTTCATCTGAAAAAATGCAAGACTTCTGCAACAATGTCCTTTGGACACGTGAGACCAAAATAGAGAAGTTTGGCTATAATGCACAAACACCTCATACCAGTACGTTAGTGGAGGGATGATGATGTGTGCTTGTTCTGCAGCCACAGGACTAAGACACCTTACAGTCATTGAGTTGACCATGAACTCCTCTGTATACCAAAGTAAGTAGTAGTAGTAATCAAATGTGAGGCCATCTTTCTGACAGCTAATGCTTAACCCGAATTGGGACGTGCAACAGGACAACGATCCCAGGCACAGCAGGAAATCTACAGAGTGATTGAAAAAGAAACAAATCGAGTGCAGAGCCCAGCCCTCAAGACAATTTAAATAGGACCTTTGGAAAGCTGCGCATAAATGAATACCTGCAAACATCAATGATCTGAAATAATGTAGTAAAGAAGAGTTGGTCAAAATTCCTCCACAATGATGTGAGCGATAAAGACATAAAGAAAACAACTGTTCAAGTTAGCACAGTTAAAGGTGGTTCTACAAGCCACTGAATAAAGGGGTGCACTTAGTTTTTCATAGGACTCAATGTAACTGAGAATATGTGTAGAACATGCAGATGAATGAATCTATAAAAGCGATCATTTGTTAAATACATACTGATAAAACACTACAAAACAGATATTTTTAATGCAGTGAACTATAATGTAATGATATACATTATATCATACAGTGCACTGCCAGACCAAACTTCTGAAATGTCAGGGGAAAAAGTCATTAACATACTTTGTTAGTGTAACTGTAAACAGTTGTACTGCCAGATTTATTTATTCATATATTAAATACAAATATTTTAACCATATCACTTTCTTACTTAGTTGTATGCATGTGCACTACAAATGGGCCTTATGCTCTATCACACATATATGCGCACACAGTGAGGCCATTGTAAGTTCATGGGAGATGTTAAATAGATAGTGAAACTCCTTCTGCTTATCAGGAATGTAAATCTTAAGGTGACAGAAAATAGGGTCATGATTCTCTCTGTAAGTGACAAGGCTTTATGGATGTGCCTGAGGGTATAGCCCTCAACCCCCGTGAGATGGGCCAGCATGTAAGAGTTGTGGAATGTTTTTGTCTGTGTGTGTATATATAAGATGCGAGGGCGGCAGAGATGATCCTTGGCTGGGATGTTTCTCTCCACATTGCAGTGTGTTTATTAAACCCACTTCAAAACGGGTGCTTTATTCTACACGAAGAAAAGGACCATGCAACAAATGTGCATAGCTACTAGGGGTGGGGGAAAAAATCGATACTGTGTAGTATCGTGATATTTTGTTTGCTAATAATGTATCGATACAGGGACAGCAG